ATAAGAGATCATCTAACAGTCTAAAATTGCTTTTAATTGCAAGTTAATGCATTCCAACCAAAATTTGTATACCTGTAATTTGGGGGGGGGGCGATGTTACATCACATAACTACAACGTTCATATAGAAATATACAATAAGCATGTCCGTATAAAAGCTAAAATTATAAAAACTCATTTCAAAGTCATTCTGTTCATGGAAGCGTCAAGTTATGAAAAACAATGCTAAACACTCAAACAAATCGACTTGATTACCTTTGAAAACTTCTTGAGAGGAAATGGACAAATGTATTTTTCTAACTCATTAGAGCGTCTGTCTGATTGAAATACTATTTTTTAAATACAAACATAAATGATTTAATCTTGGTCAGAAGTCTGAACATTGTCCAACAAAATAATAAGAATCTAACATTTAATGATTACAAAAGGATTAATTGCTATATAGTCTTTGTCTTTGTTTTTCTAACGGCGGAAGTGTACCAACATCACCTTGATTACAGAAGAGATCATCTAACAGTCTAAAATTGCTTTTAATTTCCGGGTTTTAATTACATTTTATGTATAGACTTTTTGCCTCTATTCTCATTTTTAAAACTGTTTCTGTTTGCTTATTTAACAATTGTGATAAATTATTCAGTTAGTGTCGAAATCAAAACAATTTTCTACTTTATAGTCCCCTCCTCTTGCACTGACTAAATATTAAAATAAGCCAGTCTGATTGCGAATTTACAAATCCTGTAAAAGTAGCTCCAAACCGCCTTTTAATCAGAGAAAACAATAAGTTAATTCATCTGATTGCGAAAATACGAATCAATCTGATTATCTGATCCCCATGCTATTTGATTCGTGCATTATCTACAAGTCAGTCGGACAAGGGTGAAATTATTTCATTTGAAAACAGAAATAAATATCAGAACCCCTCTAGCATAACTATTCGGAAGAAATTCATAAAAAAAATAAGGTACACAACTGATGAAGGGTCGCACACAATGCACGCACCCCTCTCCTCCTCCTCGGTGTTTGCCCACACACGAACATATTTGACAATTTTTCTAAAAGCGTTTTCCCCGGGAATATAGGTGTAGCGGTTGCCAGAAGTCGCACAGCTTGGGAGTCAGGGTATCCTGATCAATGCCTCAACGCCTGACGGGTCTGATATTTAGAGGGGGCGCAAGAATTATTAGGGGGCGGGGTAAACGTGAAAGTTGCATAAATATCCATAGGCGTAGCCAGGAGGGGGGGATGCGATTGGTGCGATAACAATAGGCTTTATATATGCTTTAATGTTTTATTTAGCATGATGCTTTTATGTAGGCTATTAATTACAGTTCTTTTTGCAATATAAAACTGGTATGTTTATGCAAATTCCGATTGGACTAATATAAAGGGATATTGTTTCATTATGTGGACTTGAGAAAGTCCGACATACTCATTGCTTTCAACCCAAAACTTAAAATAGGAAGTTATCAAGATTCCAAGAACACGATCGCTACTTAAACAATACGTTTGTAAAATCCCGGCGATCGAAATGCAATCAAACTTTCGCAATCAGGTGCCTAATTAGTCTTTTGATCTCTAAAGTTTTACGACTGAACGTTTCAATGAACTCGTGAGAAGCAAACGCAATCATCATATAAACATTTTTGAAAAGTCAGTCTCGGAAGAATTTTCCAAGCATTCCCTGCTTCGATGCGTTTTTATTGCAAGGGCCGTTTAGCGCCGATATGAATTCATTATAGGGCATTAGGGTTGTGCTTTATTTGTTTTATTTATATAATGTTATAAATGTGTACGACACTTTAATGAATTATTTTTAGGGTTACAATGCATATTTGACTTTTCCCTCTAAACGTTTAAAATTCATCTTTATACTTTTCTTAGTTTGCTTCAATAAAATTTAACATTGGATCCCAGACAGTTATCAAATTCTCAGACATTTGATTAATATAGATATTTGTACTTCCGTTGACCAGTGGTGCTGGTGTGAGTGAGATTCGAATCTAATATGTTTCATTTTTATGTAAATTGAGAGGAATAAAATTTTATTTTAAGCGTTTTAACAATCTTAACGTTTGGCGTGCAGCTCAACTTAATACACAATCAAAGGTCAGAATACAGAAATAAGAACATGCCTTTTATTTGTTATTCAAGCTCCAGCAATATCTTTCTTTTGATATTTAGTGCTTGAATGGAGACTTGTTTCCACTCCCCGCATTCTAGTAGAATTTATTCAAGCTCCAGCAATATCCCCGTTATAAAACCAAAATAACTGCGGTTAGGTACCATATCTTGATTACAGTTAAGACAGGCCATCTCATTTTGGTATGCCAGAGCCACTCTTATCTGCCGATTGTGGAAGGATAAAGACAAAGGGGTCGCGGCTATCGCGATGAGGCCATCTTATTTCTAGGAATTATTTCTGCCTCTCATTCCTTAAACCGGCTTCGTTAAACAGTGCCAAAATATATAAGTCGGAGCCAAAAACAAGACTATTTTTATATTTAAATCCCCTCACCTTGTCAATGTCTATGCCTGCATCTGGTTTTCCCACCTTTGGGAGGGAGCCAATATACACATAGATTACTTACTGGCCATGGACAGGGGGGGGGGGCACAGAAACGAACATTCTGGGGTCATAAGGGATACTTGGGGAAGAGGGAGGGGTGGTGGTGAATAGTGAAGTCCGGGAGTGAAGTTAAGGGGTACTGAAATCTTTCTTTTGATATTTAGTGCTTGAATGGAGACTTGTTTCCACTCCCCGCATTCTAGTAGAATTTAAATATTTGATCCAAATGAGTTATTTTAAATCAAACTTGCATTCCGATTAATTAACACTCCAATGATTGTACCGCTTCACTATTGTCTAAGATAATTATAATGAATTCACGGGACACTATAGTATATAGTATATTTAAACTTTAGTGGTTGGATGGAGACTTGTTTCCCCACCCGGTACACTAGTAAATTTGTAAATTTTAAATATTTGATTTAGGGAGGTATTTGCAATCCAACTCTGATGATGCAAGACTAGTCAACCAAGACTAAATTATGAACTTATTATCATTTAGACTATTGAGTTCATTAAATTATAATTCCATAGATATCATATTTAATCCTGTCAACACAATAATGGTATTAATTGGCATGATATGTAGTCAGAGACGGTTTAAAAAGTTGTTTAGATTAATGATAGTATTAGGAAAAATCCTAACTCAAAGTTTTTGTTCTCTCGCAATCCAGAGCAAACCACTCACCGGGCAAGCATTCTTTAAAAACGTGACGTTTTCACCATGTTGAACAGTTTTGAAAATTGTCCAATTTGAACCATCGCCTTGTATATTTCTGTAACTGCCCCCCCCCCCCCCCCTTGACACTCGAGTGTAAGAATCCTTTCCACACTGTCAATGGTTTTACAAAATAGTTCATGTCAGGAAGGGGGAGGGGTGAGTGTGGAGAACAATCACTGACTGCGATTTGTATGATTGAACATTATACACTTATCATAAATTCGTAAAGAATAGTTTTAAAATAAACAGCTTGTTTTATTTTATGATTGGAGTGATGTATGCATAGAAGAATGACACTGGTTTTGAAATATCTTAATTATCCCATTGAATGAAGCCATCCGCCCCTCTGTCCATTCTTAACTCATACTAGTGGACTGATTTGATTTAAAGGAGAAGTCTCGGTGTAGAACGTGTACACACTAATGGGAACGAATTTTACTCATTTCTATTTAGGATTCGTTCATATACTAGCGGGGCTTTAGAGCATTTACAAACGCACGAATTGTATTGTTTTAAGGCAACTTTTATGACATATAATGTATTTAAAGCTGATTAATTTTAGATTATATTCGGTTCAATTTTACAAATAATGAATAGTATTACAGTATATCGAAAAATATACAATGATTTACATTAAATTGCGCAGACTGCAAACAATGTACATGGTTGGCGAATTTGCATGCGCGTTCTTGATAATAAGAATTAAAGGTTGAACTTAAAAATCAAACATTTTCTTTTTTAAACATAATAAATCTTTAAATCAAGAAAATAAAAATAAGATTGATGATTGAACTTTTCATAGTCAACTGCGACTGTGTCGACGCATGTTTATTTACTTAGCTAATTAGATATGTAAAATTGTTAATGGCCGCAACGGATAATACGTACATGTAAGCTGTTCGGATAAGACATTTCTATATGATTAATAACAAATCCCGGGCAGTATGTTATTCAGCAGTAACAGATCTTATTGGTTATTATTCAATTTGGATAATAAATCTATTATCTCGTCGTATTGATGTTTATTATATAGTGTTTCTCGTTGTGAATGCTTATCCAATGTTCACGAAAAGTGCAACATTTTATTGATTGCATACTTAGAATGACATTTGTGCATTGAGACATGTTCTATTTCCTAAAGGAAAAGTTGATTGCTCCAGGGACTTTAAGGATACTAAATTTGGATGACTAAAATGAACTGAAACCAATGGATACCACGAGTTATTTCAACTGAGAAATAACACGGGGAACAATAATTTAAAGGGAATTCTCCTTTGCTTTCAAGAATTAATAGATACATCAAAAATAGTAATGCATTAAACATTGTGAAAAATGATTGCATCTTTGGTCAAAATAAGGTCAACTTTTTTGAAAAAGCATGTTGATGAGTTAACTGCTTGCTAAATATCTCCAAGTCTAACTGACTTCATTATCAACGTATACTTTTCAAATGAGATAATGAATAATAGATCTAAAAGATAAACCTGTTTTCATTGTCAGAATCCAAGATATAACCGTCTAAAGATGTTTGCGATAAAACACTTAAATCTTAAGTAGTCAAAATTATATAAACTTTCAAAAGTATACACAATATTAACTCTCAATATTTTTTTTAAAAGAGTTGAATATAAAACATAATTTATTTCCATTTCCCAGGTGAGTTGATTAATTAATTTAAATTTACCTAAAAAACAAAATATATTAATAATATTTACCGTATTTTCCTTCACTTTTTATCCAAGAATGCGTATCGGGAACTCCTTTAACCTCCTTAAATCCCGTTTAGCCATAATTATTGCATTTGGTTGATGTTGCTCTATTTAACCAATCCATCTTTTGTAGCTGGATGTTTACAAAGAAAGTCTGACAATTCGTAAGAAGTCGCCTGCTGCTCTGTTGAGTCTCACTTGACACTTCGCTATTACTTCTGAATTATGACAAACTATCAAAACGCCCGCTCAGCGTAAGGCATATTACTTCAACTGAGGCTTTATCATTTGTCGGCTCTCTTATATCGTCTTGGCTATTATCGATGTAATGTGTCGACTAGTGATTACACACTGTTGCCGTCTCACGACTTCACCTGGCTAAGCATAAAGTGCATAACTTTATGTAAAACATTAATAGGTCTGACCAGTAGACCCTGCAACCTTATGATACAAGGTGAGCCAAAAAAGGCAACCCAAACAATTCTTAATAACTAAGTCATCTAGCATGGAAGTCATATTTGGCACAATTAAACGTGTATAGTGCCCTTTCATTCTTATTGGTTTCATTGGTCTATTTAATTGTTACTACTAAATGGCCATTTTACAAAACATGAAACCTTGTGAAGGGGTAGGCCTATTGTGAATTTCTGGGAACTAATTTCACCAAACTGGTTTGTTTTTCAAAAATAGGCATCGATTTTGAAAAAAAGATCAGTTTAACCCTAATGTCTGCATCCTTTTTGATAACACTAAGTCGCAGGAGGGGGGCCATTTGGACCCACCCCCTCTGCGATTATTATTATATTGTCTGACTTATTATTATTATTATTATTGTGTGAATTGTTGTAAACCTTATTCAATTACCTCTTTAGAAAAGTTTTTTAAAAGTTTGTCTAAATAGGTCAAATCGAGGTCAACGTGACCTAGGGGGTGCATATTTTTGACATGTGATAAATTGTCTATTTTCTTTCACAATAATTTTTTGCTTCGATGACTCAAAGAATAATCTATCATCTTTCAAATACTACTAATACTACTAAAAGCTTTCCTAGAACTGAAGTTACACATTCTAAGATAGCAGATATCGCGAAATCCCATTGAAACCAATGTAACGTGAAATTAAATTGTCAGTAATTTCAGCTTGATTTTTGTCTTTAGCAATCATATTTCAAGTATTTACAACAAATGCCAATTACTGATAGTGTGCAGATGTATGGATGTCTTCACTCGGTATTGATCCAATATAATTTCGGTCCATGATGTTGCCTAGCAACCACCTAGCAACGTAAAACATCGAAATAGTGAAATTGAAAAATTGGGGCAGGGGAGAATAATTTTTTTTTAAATTTGGATGAAAGATGTCAACATAATTCTTGTACGACAGTGTGCATGAACATTTAGGAATGTGCAAAAAATCGAAGGTATTTATTAGTTCAAATTCATTCATTCAAGCAGTTTTTGAAAAAAAATCAGTTTTTCTCTATAATTCATGAAGAAAGGGGCTAAGAAAATATCCCTTTCTCGGTTTTTTGCTCGCCTAACATTAAGGTACATGTGTATGCTTTTCTCTGTTTTTCATCAGTGAGTTCACTTTGTTAGCCGTCAAAGGTACAGAAATAATCTGCCACTAAAAGCCTATAGGCATCGGAAGGTAAAATTACATTATGGTTGAAACATGGTTATTGTTAAAGTACCGAAATGGAAATTGAGAGTTTTTTTCTTCGAGGTGAATCCTTTGGAATCTTTATGGATCTAGAAGGTTATTAAGGTTTATATGGTACTGACATTGATACCCGTTCTGATAAAAACTAGGTTTGATTTTGTGTCAGTCTTTTTCTCAAGGCTATTGAATCTGATTTTACATTGTGAGAGATCACAGATTTCGATCAATTCCTGTCTAGTTGGAAAATAGATACACGCGAAGAGTATCCAGGCCATTTAAGTCAGTTTTTGCAATTTTATAATTATAAAGTGCAAATGAAATGGTGACAAACGACATGCTTTTGAAAGTCTTTTTTGTCTTCGGAGCCGAGCATATTCCATTGAACCATATATTTTATATATCCTTCAAGATTGGGTCTCGAATCGAATAACCCGTTGAGCAAAAATGGGCTTTATAATGAAAAACGAAATTACAAAAATAGTTATCTGGGACATCACCAGAAGTGCCAATCTTAACCAATTGTCTACATCTTGGTTGGTGTTTCCCCCGGGGGTGTTTCCCTCTTTTCCATCCCTATAAGTACATGTTTTGCACATCCGTTGTTAAAATACATTTAAATATCTTCATTTGAGAGTCTCATCTTATCCAACTTCAGCATATTAAGCATGTCTCATGTATCTCCCATTGGATCATTTACATTTAGTGTATCTCACCCTATGCTAAGTGAGCGGACCTAATTTCAAGGGTGATGGTAAAGACGAGGCAGGGCGCCCAAACCTAACTATGGCGGACCAGCAGTAAGTTTATTTCTCTAAGTTCTACTCTTTATTGGCCTTGTGCTGGCCTGTAACTAGTAGTCCGGATGTGAAGTGCCATATTTTAAGTGAAGGTGGAAATGCTTATTATATGAACTTTTTTTGCATTTTCTGTTTAAACATGATATCCATATTCAGAAACTGTCGGATGCCCAACGAGCATCCTTGAGGAATTTTTTTGGCAGCCATTTTGAATTTTCACACGTTTTATGTATTTAAGCCAGCATATTAAAACAGAAAACTAGCATACACATAAACAAATCTTGCTGTTTTTTCTATAATAGAGTTCTAATATGATATATACCAATATGTTAGGTTCCAGAAATGTTTCTTGACAAAAATAAAAAAAAATTCAAGATGGCCGCCAACCTTACAATTTATGAAATGTCTCATTCTGTGATAATATCAAATTGATATAAGTGTTTCCTACAAAATTATCAATAAATAATACTAAATACATCTGATTATGATCTCTTTCTCACATATAAAATATCTGAAATGAATAAAAAGTAACCTACATAATAATAATGATGTTCCACAAGGGTCATTTCTTGGTGCTATATATATCTTGAATTTATGAATTATCTTCTTTTACTAAGATTTCATCAAGGATTTCCCTCAATAAATCCTCATCAGTTTCTTCCAATTATTGTTCAGTTACTGTATTTGTATGTTGTTATTGCATTCATTTCCCTTGCAAACACAGAACAATGTACATGATAAAGATGCCTTGGAGCATGAACATCGCCCAGTTCTACATACATTGCCCTCTGATGCACTTAATGAGCTGGAGAATTCCTTCAGGGGCACAGGGTGTATCCTTGGACATTGTTGTTGGGACAAGTGAGCCCCTGCTGTTAATTTTCCAACCATAATCTGTTGGAAGGATAAGTGGGGGGTCAGGCATATCAGCATTTTTCCATACAGCTACTTGGAAATGAGCTGCTTCACATGCTAGGAAAATGCTTCTGTTGTTGGTGGGAGGGATTTTAGCTTTGGTGCATTTGTAATGTGTTTTGCAGCATTTTATTTGCCCATACAGTATACAGTATATTGAGCTTGAGATGACCTGGTGCTGTTCTTTATGCTATTGTCTTTATATCTGTCAAAGATAAGGTATACATCTGATTCGGTTAGGAGTCTCAGGATGTACTTAGTAAAAGCAATACAGAAGTTTTCAATTTTGCCAGCCATCGGCCATGTTATGATCAAAAGGATGGCACACCCATCAACGACACGTACATTGCAATTGTTTCCTCTTGAGGCCACCTCAATCTGTAACTTTTGTTTCAGTGTTGATTTTGAAGTTGTGATATTAATTTCTCCATTTTCATCAAATAGTGATGATGGAGGGAACATCGTCTGGCCGAGCAAACATTAACATTAATGTAACCGTAAATGAACACAAATTAAAAATCCCAAACTTGTTAGCTGTGCATGGTCTCTCTGGCAGTGATACGACATCTTGCATCCATGGAATTGGCAAGCTAACAGTCCTGAAGGTGTTAAATAGATACTCACTCGCTAACTTGGGAGATGTCAATGCAGACATAACTGAAGTTGAGAAAACTTCAACAGAATTTGTTTCTAGATGTTATGGAATTACACCTAAAGTCACAGACAAAATGTCTGATGTGAGATATGCTGTATGGGCAAAGAAAATGCTGCAAAACACATTACAAATGCACCAAAGCTAAAATCCCTCCCTTCAACAACAGAAGCATTTTCCCAGCATGTGAAGCGAGCTCATTTCCAAGTAGCTATATGGAAAAATGCTGATATGCCTGACCCCCCACTTATCCTTCCAACAGATTATGGTTTGGAAATTAAGAGCACGGGCTCACTTGTCCCAACAACAATGCCCAAGGATACACCCTGTACCCCTGAAGGAATTCTCCAGCTCATTAAGTGCACATGTGCATCAGAGGGCAATGTATGTGGAACTGGACGATGTTCATGCTCCAAGGCATCTTTATCATGTACATTGTTCTGTGTTTGCAAGGGAAATGAATGCAATAACCAACATACAATGACAGTAACTGAACAGGAATTGGAAGAAACTGATGAGGATTTATTGAGGGAAATCCTTGATGAAATCTTAGTAAAAGAAGATAATTCATAAATTCAAGATATATATAGCACCAAGAAATGACCCTTGTGGAACATCATTATTATTATGTAGGTTACTTTTTACTCATTTCAGATATTTTATATGTGAGAAAGAGATCATAATCAGATGTATTTAGTATTATTTATTGATAATTTTGTAGGAAACACGAATATCAATTTGATATTATCACAGAACGAGACATTTCATAAATTGTAAGGTTGGCGGCCATCTTGAATTTTTTTTTATTTTTGTCTAGAAACATTTCTGGAACCTAACATATTGGTATACATCATATTAGAACTCTATTATAGAAAAAACAGCAATATATGTTTATGTGTATGCTAGTTTTCTGTTCTAATATGCTGGTTAAAATACATTAAACGTGTGAAAATTCAAAATGGCCGCCAAAAAAATTCCTCAAGGATGCCCGTTGGGCATCCGACAGTTTCTGAATATTGATATCATGTTTAAACAGAAAATGCAAAAAAAGTTCATATAATAAGCATTTCCACCTCTATTGGCTCTACATCCAGACTATAGGTGCACTGATGCTTCAGATGCCCATAATTAGATTTGTAATGTAAGAAAGATTCATACTTATATGTGAAACGGATACGAAGTGATGTGAAAAGAAAAATTAATTTTCTGCATATTTTTTTCGATTATTTTCAAAATAATGATACT